ACCTCATACTTTGATTTATATTAAGAGCGCATTGGATTACGGGAAGATCAATGTTTATCAACACAAATGTCGCACACGCGCGGCGCGACGACTACCGCCCTTCAACAGTCAAGTACTCACCTTTCTGTTGCCTCTATTTGATAAAAAAAAAATGTAAATTCGTAATTACCATACCTCCACATTCAACCAAATTGTACCACTCATAACTTGCAGGCATAATGCACTCAGCATTGATCTTGCATTTAAATATTTTGCTGTTATAGGCAAATCCACAATCGGCTAAACATGTATCGTGAACCGTCAGTATTACCAACTCAGTCTATCTTCAGACGAATAAAAAAAATAATTTTTTGTTTAGATGTAGTTTCAGTATCCTAATTTTTTTTGTCTGTGTATTTTTATGTAGCTATTATTTTATTTTGTATTCTATTTTTCAAGTCTGTTCCTACTTACAGAAATTAGCTGATGTGCTATGGAGGCTAACCGGGACAAATACAATATAAACAATATAGCTCAATACAATAGTCAAATATCTGCTTGAAAAATCCCGATGAACAAATAATCGTCGACTGTCTTACTCACGCGTGTAACAGGGAACCTGGATATTCCACCTCGATCACCGTCATCTTGTTCCGACTATATCATTTCTGTTCCATCACAGATTCAACTTTCAGATTGTATATCTATAATTCTCATGTCAATCAGTCGTGACGCATTAATTCATCAGTCAATTGCACACATCCCAAGCGTGGGAGTTACGCGGATTCAATTCAGCGAATTTCACTTATCAACGAAAATAGCGAAATTAAAAACCAGCGAATAATTAATGCATTTACAGTACCAATAGCAAAACACTGTTTCATTTTGAGTAATGCCGTTCCGTTCTTTCTTATAGCGGAAACAGTTTTGTATTCAGACTATTGGAAACACTGTTTTTCAAAACGCTGTGGGCTAGTGGGCCACATTTCAGTTTTTCTTTATCTGTCTACGGCCAAATAAATACAGACATGCTACCGATAACAGTCGTTATATTACCATGTTTAGTGGATGTCTGAATCACGGGTCAATTTTAAATCGTTTTTCCCCTGTACCCTGATCCATGCATTTATATGTTTTCGAAAAACAAAACAACAATAAAACTAATAATTGAGCCGAGGGTTGCCCCTTTTTGAGTATCCAACAGCGGGCAGAATGTCGGAATCAGCTACGGGTAGAATGGAACAACCACTACGTATCGGTGATCGATTTGTTTTTAAATTTGTCACCCTGACATATCATAATTGAGCAGTTCTTTTGTGTAAACAGAAATGATCCAACAATTACAAGAATGTATGAGTTGTATATCCTCCAAAATTCTTTATTGTCAACATTCGTACTAGTCTGTCGACAGTCGGTCGTACCTAATATTAATCTGTTATTATCCACTCACCATAGCACAAGCTGATAACGTCCCGAATGATACTCGTGACACTAAAACTTCTATTGTCCACAAAATGGCTACACTTTTTGGCATAACAATAAGGGGAAGCCTAAAAACTGCGATTTCGGATAAATGGGTATGACTACTCCCACTGGCGGATCCAGAAATTCGGTAGGGGCGCTCCTGTGGGCTGGGTTTGTCAATTGATTTGTCAATTTTTTTTGCTGGCTGCAGGGGGGGGGGGGAAGGTCATATTTGTCGGATTTAGATTCTTGATGGTTGAGTGCAATGGGAGTGAAGGTGGAGGTGAGGGTTTCAGCAAAAACGTTAGTATCCAAATGACATCGATTTCGGAACAGAAAAGAAGTTTTCGGTGAAAAAGTACGTCATTTCCTTATTTTGTTTCTTCTATTAAAATATGACTTATCATACACCTCGTATTACCCAGGCTCGTAACGCTATGCGAAGTGCGCCCTCGCATCAGGGCAATAATTTTCCGTATCACGCCCGGCCCAGCGCGCCCAGCTTTCATCAATCAAAACAAAACGCGTCACTCTAAATTACGTCGTGTGTTTGACGTATTGTTATTACACATATAAGGTGTATGATTGGATACGGCTTTGGTTCGCGCGCTCCCATCAAACGACTTCGGGCCGCAAAAGCTGTATCCAGTCATTAAAAAATATTAGGTTTACGGATTCCCGGAAAAGTGAATCCCCTACGAGTACCCCTACCACACCCCGTACCACACACTTTTCTCAACAAATGGCACAGTGAAAAAACGAATCGCATCGCACCAAAAGGCAAGGTACGAGTCAGCGGGACCCCAGAGTTCATAGTTCATCATACGTACGCGCGCGCGTGTTTTGCCGAATCCCGCATTACATTTACTCACGCGCAAACAGATATCGGTCACTGATCTATAACAAGGCTGATCATAATGGCAAATCGTCTCGCAGCATTAACCGGAGAAGGACAGAGAAGGGGAAGCTTTTTCAATCTCCAGAGAAAACCATCGATCGATCCCGGCCACGTCGACTCTATCATCAAAGTTGCTGCGTCCCGAGTATCATCTGGGTAAGGTCTGGAAACTCAAACTCTTGCTGGCGGCAATGTTTATGTTTGTTTATGCGATAATGGTGTATGAAACTTTACCAGAACCGGTCAAATTTGTCGATATCTAAAGCAAACTAATTTACTTTTATGCCTGCCTCTAATTCCGACAGTTTAAATAAGTACATTTACGTGATTTTTGGATTCACGATGACCCGTAGACTCCCGCCTCGTTAGGGGAATCAAATACACAAGCCGACACTCGCTCCCGGCGGAAATGCGCGTCGGACGGGCTCGCGGTGGATGCAAAGTGGATATTTTTACTGATCTATGTATGTATGTTGCCTGCCCTTGATTCATTTAAAACAAACCCACAATACTGTCACTTCCGCCTCGATGTAAATAATAACCCTGGGGAGAAAACAGAACAGAACAAAATCAAAACTGGCCGCACACAGTACTAGCTAGACTCCAACCGTTGCAATGTTATTGTTTGATATGATAACTCCTTTTAAGAATGATTTTGTAGAATCTTTAGCCCGAAATCAAGTCATTCGCCCGTCTCATTATTATTCGTATTTTTGTTTTACAGTGTCTCGATATTATGTACACGACACCAGGGCTTATACAATGATCTGCGGCGAAATGTCTGGTTTAAAGCGGAGGGGAGTCGTCACCTACGCATGCGCGGAATTGAGTCCCAAGCGACGATAACTACGCACGCTGAAAAAGCTCATGGGTAGACGCTTGTTTGTAAACAGCGACACGCTATGACCGTTTTTCGCATGCGCAGATACATGTATCTCAAATTCACGCTGTCCAAACACTAGACTGGTAAAGTCGGGACTTCTTTTTTTGTTTTACAAACAAAAAATATAAGTAATTGTCAATTTAGCCTTTTTAACATGATCGCGAAAACTAGCGTGACCGCGAAAGAAATCCCGACTGGACGCATCTGCAACCGACCCCCTGCGTTGGAGTGAAAACCGGAGCGGAATCACTCCGGTGATTATGCTAATCAAAAGTTGTTGACCAGCAATGACAACGAATCAGAGTGCAGCTTATCTATGTTAATGTTCGTGACCTTTCACTTCTGAGGTCCCGGCGATTTTGAAAGACTACTTATATATTGGATATTTAAATCGACGTGTTTTCAATAAACATGGATGAAAGTATCGCCTTCGCACTTAGAAAGTTAATCAAATCAAACTTTAAAAGGTCATGTTTACTTTCACACACCCACTCATGAATAATCAATGACATCATGAAAAATTAATAGCAGTCAAATGCCCGCAGATGCGTCCAGTCGGGATTTCTTTAGCGGTCAGGTTAGTTTTCTCGATCACGCTAAAGAACTAAAAGAACAACTTGAATTAATTATTTCTTTTTGTAAAACAAAAAGAAGTTCCGACTTTGCCAGTCTCCTCAAACACTTGGTTCATAGATGACTGTGTTCTAGCGCATCAATGAACGTTGAGTATGTCACAACCCAATTTGTTTTTGAGTGATGGGAGACATCATTTCTGGTAAAAACAAATGACACGTATACTGGACGAAAAACTAATTCTGCCCATAAATTATAACCTTGCCATCCCCACTGAAATAATAGTTCAGGCCGACAGGTGTGATATTTTCTGTCATGTGGTGGCGCTTTAAGCGATTCATCCTCACACGTTTGTAAATATTTGTACTCCCTAAATCACATGTAATTTTTGCATTCAAATTATTGCCAGCTTTTCCCCCAATCGTGACGCAACTGCGCGGTATATTGTCTTGGTACGTTGACTATGTGATCGTGTTTCAAGTTCTTTTGAAGCATCAACTGCGACAGGGACAAGGCTGATATTAAAAAAAAAAAGTAATTACGATTCAAGTTCAGATAAATATCTTGATTTACAATTCTGTTCTCTATTTTTATTACAGATTGCTGAGCGAAGCAAATTCCGCGATTGGTGAAGAAGAACTGTCGGTCGGTTCATTTTTTTTGAAATCCAAGAAGGTTTTCTTTGAGAACACGTTTAAGATGTTGCCGGACAAGAAATTCAGTAGGCGAGTTTTGAACGAATTGTATTTTATTTTGCCACGATAGCTGGGATATAAGTTTTGTATGGATTTTGTTGCGTAGTATGTGCAGTCACCGTGTATCGGGCGCATTCGAGCGCTGGCAATCGAAAGAAATCCCATTCGCCATCAGACAAAATTCTGCGGTGATGCTAAATACTAGTATGTAAAAATATTAATATGAATGTTCATTTTAATAAGTCTGTATCGATTGTGTGTTCGAATTTCTTTTACACTTTTACACAAGTGGAGTACAGTCGTACGGATATTGAACGAGACAAGGACCACGTGGCATTATCTTGATAATTCCCCAAACCACGTTTACTAGAAGTAACCATGCCCAAACTTGGACAATCGGCAAAGAATGTACGAGTATTTAAATCGCGGGAGTCGTCACTTGCGTATGCACCACATGGCCATAGCATGTCATTGTTTACAAACAAATGTCTACCCATGAGACTTTGCATTTTTAGCGTGCGTTGTTATCGTCGCTTGGAACTCAATTCCCGCGCGTGCGCAGGTGACGACCCTCCCGCTTTAAACCTGTCCTCTAGGAATATTCACTTAGCTTTATTGAGGTCTTTGAACTATTATGTTGACCCATTTGAACTTGCACGAATTGTGTGGAATCTCAGACAACTAATAAATTAGTAATGAATTAGTTGTCTGAGGGGGAATATACAATGACATTTCAATGCATGTTTGCGCTGCATCCGAAGCTGGCGATCGAAAGAAATCCCTTTCGCGATCAGATAAAATTCCGCGATGACGCTAAATATGTGAAAATCTAACTCATAATACTTATTTGTATCAGTATATATTTGATTGTGTGTTCGAATTTCCTTCACACTATTAAATTCGTACCAGACAACGTCTTTTGGAATTGAACACGTCGGTCCTATCCTACCTAGTCTATCTGGTCAGATGTACTTTACGTTTTGCGCGTGCACAGTGACTGGTTTGCAAGAAGTGGACCCAAAAATAACATAACGATGTTGTTCGTTGTTGTATTTTACATGCGCTGTGTACGTCGCTATGAGTCCCATGTCGAACAAAATGTAAAACACCGGCGTAGACAGTAGGATTATTTATTGTGTGTTAGAATTAAAATCTATCGAAATAAGCGGACTAATTATTTATCGTGATTGACTGAATGAATACTTTATTATACTTTATTGTTAATACATCTTTGTCTTTTGTTAAAATTGTTCTTAAAAAATGAATAATGTATTAATTAAATTTCTCAAAATATGGGACTGTAGTACGCAAAGAAGTATTGTTTCCTATTACGATGACGCAATAATTCCATGATTGTTCAGAATGAACCAATGAACACTACCATGTGATGTATAACCGAATTTCTTGAAAAAATGTGCTGAGCTATTTCACAATATCAAATTAAACAAAAAAATGTAGCAACTTGCATTGTCTCGCAGAAGCCCGGCTAGCTCAGTCGGTAGAGCATGGGGTTCGAGCCCCACGTTGGGCGTAATCTTGTTTTTTTTAATTCAAATTTGTCATTGAAAATAAAATAAAACAATGAATATTCATTTATAAAAACTTTGTTTTAATCATTTAAGTGATGGCGCTCTTGCGGAGCTAAACAAGCTCAGACCGACTCTGTTCAGAATGAGGGGGTGGTTTGTAATTGTGATTATAGTATAGCACAATTCCTCAAATATTTACTAGTACATGTATATTACAAGATTCCACTGACGACAGTGACAACCACCAAAATGTAATTAAAGGCAAAAAAAAAAACACGTGAAGCATAAAAGACTGTTTCGAGTCGTAGCAAGAGAGAAAACCGTTTTTATGCTATGAAAAAGTGGTGATTTTGAACGTACTTTATGTACCTTAGTACAACGTCATTGTTTGATTGATTACATAACGTGTTTAGGTTCATGTGCTGCAAGTTACAGTGCATATACATAAGCAGCCGCCCCGCAGCAAATAATTTAGCCAAGGCATTTTCCGTGTCAAAATCGAGAAACTATCTGTTTTTACGCAATCTGTGAGGTCCGAATTACTAAACGGAGTACTGGACGACAAAGCTGAAATATCCAAGAACAAACACATACAAAAAATTATATCTCAAAAGTGAATACTAATATACGTGGTTTAACCGGACCGGAAGTGGGGATTTGTTACTCCTTGCAATAAACAATACCTGCACAACGTCTCAGAGATCTCGGAATATAATTGTAGTCTGAGCACGGCAGAGATGAAAAGACAGCGAGGTAAAAAAGATCGTATGCCTGAGGTTTAGCCGTCCGCGATTAAATCACAGTAATCCTCTCCTATTTGTCACAGTGTTTATGGAAATACAGTTCTCTGTTCAGAAAACGAGCAAAAAAACTGTGCTTGGCTTCAACAATTATTAAAGGGGCACCTTCCAGTTAAGATTAATTTTACAACAAATTTACTTTCTGGATTAAAATAACAATGGATAACAAAAGATAGATTAACATTGTAAACAACATAAACAATAGTGTCCCATGATTCTTTGGTGCAATCCAAGGGATTGAGCGGTTCCCCTTTAAGGGAGGGGGCAGGGGGGTTTGCTGGTACAGTTTTACGGGAAATAAAAAGGGCTTTTTACAATTTACAAGGGAAAAAAGACGTTATTACAGTTTACAGTGAAAATTGAATTTTGCAGTGAATTGTGTCATCTAGTCATTTTACAGTTTCGAAAATGTAATTTCCCGGGATTATTCTTTACGACTTTTTTAATTTTGATGTAAATTCTTGTACGTACCGAGAATAATGACACATTTTTACAGTGTACGAAACAAATATTTGATTGATTACGTTGTACGTCTAGCCTGTGATTACAGAGTTACGGAATTTATTTTTTTTAATTTACGTTGTACGAACAAAAAATATTGCAATTACATTTGTACGTGGAACGAAAATAACCCTTGCCCCCTCCCCCCTTATTAAACCTCTGCGTTTTCAGTGTGGCGTCCTCCGTGAAAGAACACAGCGCAAGGCCAAAGTTCGCCCATTGTTATCTAAATTTACATACAAAAGAAGATCCACTCGGGTGTTGAATGGACCGTTTTTGGCGCGAGTATTCTAATTCAGAACAACCAGGGCAAAGTTAGCGATATCTTCGGCACGGCTTTCTTGCTTGTCAGTAGCCCGGCTAGCTCAGTCGGTAGAGCATGGGACTCTTAATCCCAGGGTCGTGGGTTCGAGCCCCACGTTGGGCGTAAATATTTTCCTCCTTCTGTGATCTTTGTCCACATAACCTCCATTCCTCAACACCGAGGGACGAGGAGACATGTGATTTGACGTAATATTCACGACCCTTCTATCGAATTATTAGTTGTGACAGCGAACTGGAATATTTCTGTTTTTAAGTTTTTGACATTACGTTTTTGTGCAGTGAGTGACAATATTATTTTCAATCAATTTCATATACGGAGGTATTTTCATGTAAATATAATAGAACTTAATATAAAAAAATGTTATAAATATATTTTATATAAATTTTATTAGTTGTGACAGAGAACTGGAATATTTCTGTTTTTAAGTTTTTGACATTACGTTTTTGTTCAGTGAGTGACAATATTATTTTCAATCAATTTCATATACGGAGGTATTTTCATGTAAATATAATTGAACTTGCAATACATTTTATTCCACATTTATGAATCATTGTAATTTGTATTTTCTTACATTTTTGTGATACAGTTTGTCTCATGAGAGTAAAAAACCTTGGACAAAAATACAAACTATGGAGCAAATGCCACATGTTTGGTTGAACTTGCATTTAGTCTCTTGATTATTTTTTGCTAATTTTCAATGAATATTTTATTTTATTAAAAAAACACACAAAAAAAGTCCAATGTCTGGTTAGAACATGATTGTTCCTTTTTTTATTAGATATGTTACCTCCGCGCTCGTGATTTCAAAACCATGTATAAAGGGCGTGTCATTTTATAACCTATACTTACAGATATGTTTTCCGAAATGTACCACCTTGAGTTTCTAATGGTCAACTCAACAAAATTTGAAACCATGGCTCTAAAAATAAAATCTTTCAAAAAGTCATGTGACTGCTTTGTATATAACACCAATCGCTAACTTCTTGAAATTTGGGCCAGACACTCTTCAAAATAAAATTCGTTGAAAAAAAAAAGTAAAGTGAATTAACCACTCATCCTAATCGACTTATTCTCTAAATTAGCCAAAATTAATGAAGGATTTATAAAGATGCAGGAATCTACATGTCCTATACCGCCAATTAGCATATCAGTGTTTGGATCCACCAATTATATGGTTGTTTGGTAGCCAATCCTCGGGGGCGGAGCTACGTCACAGACGTTCTACGTTGCTAAGACGCGCACCACTGTACCACGTATTTCTATGGGCTTTGTGCGCTGCTGTGGAACGCCTGTGGAGCCGGTGAAAACTCGAGAAAACAACACAAACTCAACTTTGAAGTAATCCCGAACAACCAAATTCATATATGTTAGGGATTGGTAAGTTACTTCGGCCTAGGGGGGAGGGGTCGGCAGATTCCATTTTGCCAGCTCTAAATCTCAGTCGACCCACCCCCTATCAAATAATAGAAAGTGGGTGACCCCCCCCAACATTATATTATTATGTGCTTATGAAAACAAAGGAAACTTTGATTTTGCTTAAATTTGTGTTGGATTTAGGTATTTTACAGAGAAAAATATGCATATTTAAAAGTTAAAAAAACAAAAAAACTATTTATTTATTTTTTCATCATATATTTTAATTTATATATCAGCATTTTCACAAATTTAACTGTTTTGATTTGCTGAACAAAAACTGTCACTGCTTTTTGTACTAATTGCTGTGTTGTCTTTCCGTCTCCTGTTATAATTGGATAAATCCAGTAAATATTTTATACAATGGTGACTTCAGACTTCAAATAAAATAATCTGATATCAGCAGTGCATGGACTTGGGATGTGTTTAAAACTTAACTGTATAATTGGGGTTCCAGCCGCATTGCATAATCTGTTAGTTATTTGGCAACTTTAACCTCAAAATATTTAGCCTATAACATTTTTTGCAACAACAATTGTACGATTAATTTTTTTATCATTTGTTCTGAAAAAAATTTAAAAAAATATATGCATGAGCGCCTGTGTGAATTCTGGAAAACATGATACTGTAAAATGACTAATTTTCACTGGGTTTAAATTTCACTGATTTACCATTTCAGGCATATTCAGTGGGTTTAAAATTCACGGTTTCGTCATTTAGATAATGTGTTTTATGCTAAATTTTACATATTCACTGTGTTTTAATTTAGCGCATTTTTCCAGTCAGCGAAATAAGCTAAATTAAAACCCAGTGAATAATTACCCCCTTTACAGTATCAAAAACAAGGTGACCCCCCCTATTCGCACAATCAAAAACAGGGTAACCCCCCTACTGATCCACCGACCCCCCCCAAACCTCGGTATTACTAGTCTGAGATTAGACACAACAAAACTGGCTGTAGAGAACTTGATGGAAGGAAGGTTGGAAAATCTGTGTTTTGTTTATATCCATTTGTAGAAGTTTTAGCTGGCAAACATTTTATTACATACATGTGGTTTCAGAATATTACTTAACAAAATTTTATTTTTGAAACCTGTTTTTTTTTTTTTTTTTTTGAATAATTCGCCCAAGCACTACGATTGTATATTCCCCTATACTAGTATTTTTCTGGCTATTCTAGAACATTACCAAGTTTCAACTGTAGAGGGCTCACTACTAGCACCACATTACATACTTGTACCTTGCCCCTCACTGCATATCGAATACATAAAGCATACTGGGGTTGGGTAACTTCCATTATTGTTACATAAGAATGTGCAGCAAAATAATCGACTTGTCATTTACCAGATGACATAAATGGAATACTTTTCCAGGAGAAAAAACCAAAATATATAATTTTTCAGTGTTCCAAGATTAAACAAACCTGTTTTTGGAAGACTTGCTACAATTCTGATGCTAAAGAAATGTTTCCGATAATAGGTGATTTTCCGTACAACTGCGAGATCTCGCGAGATGCATGAAAGACGCGCGTCGAACGTCTGCCGAAAAATCGAACGATTTGATTTTGAACTCGAATTTCTTTATTTCATAGCTCACATCGACTGGCCGATCTTCGACAGAGGAATATTGCATTCGAATATCCTCACTTAATCGAAATTGCCCATCATCAAATGTGGACAGCACATTATTAAGCATGGAAATGTTCCCCAAAATACTTTCGCGTTTGTCGAATTTCACGCGATGTTTGACGCCACTACGACGCTATGACCTTTGTTTGTCCTGTTTTTACGTTCGATTTCACGCATAACGCGTGATTCTCGCAGTGAACAGAAAATGGTATATTCCACCAATTTTGTTGGTGAAACTCAAACTTAGATTTTTGCAAATTTTAATTTAATGCAAATTAGTCATGTTCTACTCGCGAAAATGGTTTAGCATAACTTTATTAATCTTAACCTATTCACCACCAGTTCCATCTTTTCATCACAAAATCACAAAATAGTCCCATTTATAGTCAGTATTTTCCTTCGGAAGATGTACATGTACAGTACAATCTTCAAATCTAACCATAATCTATTATTTATTGAGAAATATTTCTTATTTATTTTTTACATCTAGGAAGAAGGTTGAAACAGTAGCTACAGAGGTGATAGAGAGACATTCACAAACCAAAGGAGATCTACTGAATCAACAATACACACCGGACTTAGCCGCCAAGGTATGGGCCACTACAACAAAAATAAATGGTTTTTATGAAAATCACAGAAATCGGTGAAAAGCACACTTATATTGTAGTTGCATTGCTACTTTTCAAATGTGTGTATATATTTGTCAGAGGGTAATGTTGAGATTATGGATGAGTAGGAATGAGAAATTAACTAGAGAATTAGAATTTAACCTATTCACCACCAGTTCTCTCTTTTCATCACAAATACACAAAACAGTCCTGTTTACAAGGCTGCACTTTCCTTCAGAAGATTTAGACAAAAATGGCCAAATTTTTTGAGTAAAAACTGAAAATTGTGTTTGCTGGCTCCAAAATTAGGATTTATTTTCAGAAATATTGAAGAATGTAAAAAAAAATGGACGAATGGTCTGGGGTAAGTTTAACCAGGTCTCTGAAATCAATTTAGAATGATAAACAATATATAATCACTAGGTTAGAAGGTTTTGCCTCTCTTTAAAGGTCTGTTACATTGTTTATATAAGGGAAAGCCCCCTTAGTACTCTCTTTAAAGGTCTGTTACATTGTTTATATAAGGGAAAAGCCCCTTTAGTACTATTTGTTTATATAAGGGAAAAGTCCCCTTAGTACTCTCTTTAAAGGTCTGTTACATTGTTTATATAAGGGAAAAGCCCCCTTAGTACTATTTGTTTATATAAGGGAAAAGTCCCCTTAGTACTCTCTTTAAAGGTCTGTTACATTGTTTATATAAGGGAAAAGCCCCCTTAGTACTATTTGTTTATATAAGGAAAAGCCCCCTTAGTACTCTCTTTAAAGGTCTGTTACATTGTTTATATAAGGGATAAGACCCTTTAGTACTATTTGTTTATATAAGGGAAAAGCCCCCTTAGTACTCTCTTTAAAGGTCAGTTACATTGTTTATAAAAGGGAAAAGACCCCTTAGTACTATTTGTTTATATAAGGGAAAAGCCCCCTTAGTACTCTCTTTAAAGGTCTGTTACATTGTTTATATAAGGGATAAGACCCTTTAGTACTATTTGTTTATATAAAGGAAAAGCCCCCTTAGTACTCTCTTTAAAGGTCTGTTACATTGTTTATATAAAAGATAAGACCCTTTAGTACTATTTGTATATATATAAGGGAAAAGCCCCCTTAGTACTCTCTTTAAATGTCTGTTACATTGTTTATATAAGGGATAAGACCCTTTAGTACTATTTGTTTATATAAGGGAAAAGCCCCCTTAGTACTCTTTTTAAAGGTTTGTTACATTGTTTATATAAGGGAAAAGCCCCCTTAGTACTCTCTTTAAAGGTCTGTTACATTGTTTATATAAGGGAAAAGCCCCCTTAGTACTATTTGTTTATATAAGGGAAAAGCCCCTTAGTACTCTCTTTAAAGGTCTGTTACATTGTTTATATAAGGGATAAGACCCTTTAGTACTCTCAAAAGGAAATATCACAAGATGGCAACTTTTAATATTTTTTTTTTAGCAAAAACATATTTTTGACCATTTTTTTTTTTTTTTTTTACACATTTACAAAGTGGGAATGCAATATTGAAGATGGTGGTTGTCGTGCAATGTTGTGGTCAATAACTTCACAGCGGTTTTCACATTGGGTTCTATGTACACTGTAGCCTCGTTATAACAAACTCTCTGGGGGACATACAATTAGTTTGTTATAGTGAAATGTTCACTATAATGAAGCACATAATACATTGGGTTTGTTGTGAGCGGGCGACACGCTATGTGTTCATTATATCAGGAAGTTCATTATAAAGATGTCCATTGTATTGAGGTTACAGTGTATTGTGTTATTCACCATACCCAACTGGATGAACTTCATTCACATGGTGCATTCAGCCTGACAAAGTCAAAAGATTTGCGCCTCAGCAGTGCTCCAAACCCAACATACGCCTGACAGAGCGATGAAGTCTTTCTTTCCCCCCAACGATTTTTTGACGGTACCAATCAAATTGAAAAATAAGTTTATTTGTTTGTTGATGTGTGTGATGAGGTGCTGGCAAATTTCCGCCCAATGATTATCATCTTGTTAAAAACAGTCTGTGATTTTTTGCTAACAATGCAAATACGGCTTTGATTGACGGCGTTACCATGACCACCAAACAAAATATTTATTGAAACTCATTGCAAAAAAGCGTGAACTTTGTGAATTCGCAGTATTGATCTTGCTGACGAGAAATAAACTATTCTGTCAGGCGTTAGTGGAGTCTGATGCTCTTTGGCCGGCGAGGGCGCCACTCACACCTACTGGTACATGTTAGGCTAATGGTACATTCTGTAAATAAATTGACATATGCTTAATTTCAATAGACCATTTTCCGTTCACTGCGAGAATCACGTGTTATGCGTGAAATCAAACGTAAAAACAGGACAAACAAAGGTCATAGCGTCAAACATCGCGTGGGATTCAACAAACGCGAAAGTATTTTGGGGGACATTTCCATGCTTAATAATGTGCTGTCCACATTTGATGATAGACAATTTTGATTAAGTGAGGGTATTCGGAAACAATATTCCTCTGTCGAAGATCGGCCGGTCGATGTGAGCTACGAAATAAAGAAATTCGAGTTGAAAATCAAATCTATGCATCTCGCGAGATCTCGCAATTGTACGGAAAATCACCTATTAATAATCTTGCATTTTTTCTTCATTCAACAGCTGTGTAATATGCTAAGCAATGAAATCAAAGCCAAGATAAAAGAACTGGGATACGACAGGTGATTGCAAATAAAATACTGTAATTTTCACTGACATTTAATTTTAACGTTTTGATATTTTGAGCTGGGTTTTAAATTCACTGATTTTTGTGTCAGTTCACATGGCTTGAATTGATCAGATTCAACTAAATCCGCGTAAATGAAACTAAGTGAAAATTAATTCCTTTACAGTAGCTTGGAACCCAGGCCAATATTTTTCTGGTTACTCAGTTGTATCATTTCGCCTACATAATTTGAATATGTGAATTTTTTGACCAATGGAGGAGTTACACATTGTCCTCATGGGCTACTTCTAGTACTGTAAATTTTCACCGACATTTTATTTCACTATTTTGAGCTGGGTTTTAATTTCATGATCGTGACAAGAAAACAACGTTCACGTGAAATTAATTGAATAGGTTTTACATATTAGCAAAAATAGCAAAGTTAAAATAATAATTAATGCATTTACAGTATATAAACTGATAATTGTCATGACGACAAAATTGCCACCTTATTCCTTCTGATGTGATAAATTTAAGAGTCCAGACTCCAATGAAGAAGGGATAACCAGGGGAGCGGTAATTTGAAAGTTTATTTTTTTTTTGTTTCCCTACATTTCATTTATTTACTTTTTGGTTTTCTCAAGGCGACCAAGACATATGAAAAAGTAAAAATATGGAAATTAAAAAAACTAAAATTTTACAACTAATTTTACAACTAACTACATAAAATTTTTAATTTTATTACCAGTAAAGTGAGAGGAGATGGCAGGAGAACAAAATTCAAATTATCAATCATTGTAACGAGTAATTATTTGCCCTACCTTGGACTATGTGGTGAATTATATTCGCATTTTTTTTTTCTGATATTTTCAGATGATTTTTTTTGCAAATTATCAAGTTTCTAATGGTCAATATTTTTTTTTGTGTTGACAGATACAAGCTTGTTGTTGAAGTGACATGCATACCGCACCAGAATCAAAGCCTACGCATGGCAAGTCAGTGTTTATGGGACGAGAAATGGGACGAGTATGTGGTGGTGGAATACGATAGAAACTCATCAATGAAAATCATCGCTCTCATATTTGGCATTTATTTTGAGTAAAAAAATAAATAACAGATTTACCATAAATAAAACCATTTATATTCACTGGAATTTAAAGCGCGGTAGTCGTCACGTTGCGCATGTGCAAAATATATGGGTCTCATATAAACAAAGATGGCAACTTTGACTGTTCCGCAGATCAACGAGTACGAACTGAGACGTTTCCAAGCTTTAATTAAGTAATTTTCATGAGATTGGAAGGCATCGAAGGAGTCACCGGCGGTAATCAGTGCAAGTCGCGCCCAGGTCAAACCTCACACTTGTGATTTCCATTTGAAGAGCGCATTGGATTGTGGGAAAATCAATGTTTATCAACACAATGACGACTACCGCGCTTTAATTTCACTATTTTGGTGTTTTGAGCAATATACTGGGTTTAAATTTCACAAACACTGAGTTCTACTATTATTCTGCATGTTCACGTAGAATTAATTTTACTTATCAGCGAAATTAAAATCCAGTAAATAATTAATGCATTCACAGTTTGTGGACCTGGTTGTTAACACAATACTTGGGGCTAAGCATTAGAATGGCTACCCAAAATATTGTACACAAAATATCCAACCATTTTGAAAGGCATCAAAACGCGAATTTCAAGCATTGGTGGTATTATTATTTTATTCAATTTTAACCTTTTCACCACCAGTTCTCTCTTTTCATCACAAAAAAAAAAAAAATAGTTCTGTTTGCACTTTAATTCAGAAGATTGGGACAAAAATAGCCAAAATTTTTGGGTAAAAACTGAAAATTTACTCAAATTTTGTCTATTGGCTCCCAAAAGTTCAGAAAAATTTGGGCGAGAAAGTCTGGTGGTGAAAAGGTTAATACATGTACCAGAATCTTCAATGCAAGTGCTCAAACGGTGGGCTTTTTGAAGCTTCCAAATTTCTATAAACAAATGTGTATTCGTCGTCATGGAACTCATAATGAACACATCACAGTCGGATGGCCACTGTGCCCTTACGGCAACTGTAAAAGTCATCTTGATTGGGCAAGCTTCCAAACAGATAGTCTGAACTGATGTGATGTGTAACATCATTTCTTTCGACTTCACCGAAATAGACATACCGGTAAATATTGTTCCAATACAAGTACTGTAGAATACTTTATTTTTGCTTGGAATTTATTTTCGCTGAAGGGATGTTTCAGTGAAAATAAAATCCAGTGAATATACTTTTTTTCCTATATTTCACATTAAACTCATCAAAAATCAGTGAAAATAAATTTCACACAAAACGCCCAAAAAGCCTTTTCAGCAAAAATTAATTCCAGTGAAAATAAAGTATTCCACAGTAAGAGATTTGAAACACCAGTGTATATTCCCAAATTTTTACTGGCAATCATTTTGACTTCCATTCGATTGAGTTTGAATATCCTTTGCTAATACTTTTTAATAATGTACTGACGTGTGCAGATTCACAAAAATTCACTTCTGTTCCAAATCCGCTTCTGTTTGTAGTTATTCAAAACAAGGTTGAATTCTCGTTTTATTTCTCCCAAGCCTTCATTAAAGCTTTATGAACCATTTCATAAAAGTTCAAATTTAAGATTGACCTCCGAAGTTCATTTTGTAGCCAGTGTCTATTTTGTGGTATTTTTGACAGACCATGTCATCAAATCGGCCACATTGTCTGTAGCTAGTTGTACGAAAATGACTGATAAATTTAATAATCGTGTCAAATCTTAACAATTTGTAGTTGATCAATGTAAATTTTGAAGAGTACCTTAGCCCAAGAATTACTCAATACACTTGGCAACAAAATGTTTTTTTTTTTTCCCCGGCATAATTTTGTACATGTTAAAGCTGCAATATGGACCAAAACCTGCAATTTGTTAGATACATTGGACTTCATATGAACTGAAAATACTTTTCTTGTAACATGCATTCAAGTAATTGTACAAGAAAATGCATATGCACTGGTTATCTTGGTATGAGGTTTTGGTATTTCATCTAACGATTACTGTCTTCTGCAAATGCACCATTTTTAGTTTATGATACGAAAATCATAATCCGATCTGGTCAGCAATATTAAAAAAATGTGTTTTTGTCTACATTGCAGCTCTAAATTTGTGAATATCACTTCAATAAATTCTTGATTTTGTTCATTTCTTAGCCAGAGTACATTTGTTTGCATAAGCTATACGAGGGTCGTGTTACAACTGACCAAGGCACTAATTGGATCAGATAGTGCGCCCCCACTGTCAGAATACAGCATTCATCTGCTTGCAGATGCACAATTCAAAATATATTTTTAAAATTCTCGTTTTCCCAATTACAAATCAATTGTGTTGCAGAAACAGAGACAAAAATCAGTAAATGCAAGTAGCACAACAGTTGCAGGTTTTCTAGCATGCATGGCATTGTTGGATTACGTTCACTTGCAGGCTTGATATACAACTCAGTCTAGCACAAACAAAATCCAAATAAATACAATCTACAAAGAGTTTTCACTTTAATTTCACTATTGTGATGTTTCGACCGGTCGACGATTTTGGCAAAGAAACAACAAATTCTATCGTTTTACATGTTCACGTAGATTTAGAATGTCAAAATTAAAAGCCAATGAATTAAAATCTCCATTATATCACAGAGTTTCAAACCTATTTGATTTTACTGGCTTTGTGGTGAATAGATATCTTGGAGGTCAATTTTAGTGATTATCAAACACCTGGTATCCTCGGGGGCGGAGCTACGTCACAGACGTTCTACGTTGCTAAGACGCGCACCACTGTACCACGTATTTCTATGGGCTTTGTGCGCGCTGCTGTGGAACGCCGTGGAGCCGGTGAAAACTCGAGAAAACACAACAAACTCAACTTTGAAGTAATTCTGAACAACCAAATTCATACATGTTACACACGTAGGGCTAATCTTGTTACACTGTTCAGGGGAATGTCAACAACCATCGCAAAGTACCGTTTTCTGCGAGTTTTTGGTCTTTGTTTTTACCGCGAGGGTTGCCAGGCGGTGGAAAATGCCCGGATGTCCGCCCCCGAGGATTGCCCTGCCTCATGCTATGGAAATGCACATTAGGGCAATAATCACGCCAACTTTTATCAATCAATACGAAATTACTCGTTCCAAATTGAGCAGTGTGTTTTCATGGTCACGCAAAGGTAAAAATTGTATTTACACCTATAAGATGTACGACAAAACCTTTATGGACTGGATACGGGTTTTGCAGCTCTCGGTTGTACAGCTTGTGAAGATGTGCAGTACATAAAGAATATCATTGCACGACTGGCTACTAACTTTATCCTCGGCACCAGCCTGTTGCTCCTCCCAACAATTGTTGGTAAGAATTGAAAAACCTCTCACTTATTTTAATTCTGAAACACAGACAAAATGACCAAGCCTCTAGTTTATCCAAAAGGTAAAAAAATTTGTCAACGATTTTAATGGGGGGGGGGGAGACTTCAGGTCTAACTACTGTGGAATACTTTATTTTCGCTAGAATAAATTTTCGCTGAAAAGGCATTTTAAGCGTTTTATATGGAATTTATTTTTACTGATTTTTGATGAGTTTAATGTGAAATATATGAAAAAAAAGTATATTCGCTGGATTTTATTTTCACGGAATAATCCTTCAGCAAAAATAAATTCCAAGCGAAAATAAAGTATTCCACAGTATTAATTTTGTGGATGTGCTGTGGTTGACAGACTTCGTTAAAATCAACATAAAAGCAGCAGAAAATATAAATTCTGTATAAAAACTTTATTTCTAAATACAAAACCCAAATATTTTGCAGTCAAAGTTTAAATGATACAATTTTAGAAGATTTGATGGATATTCCGACCTGCTGAACGTTTCCAAACATGTACCTAAATCTGTTTTGAGTTATTGTAAACAAAAGAAAAAGTTTCACTATGAAGTCAACAAAGACATTTCCTCGTAATACATGTATACCTTGTGGTTGCAACCATTATACAAATTTGACAGCAGCACCTGGATGCTTTCGTAAGAGTCTTCTTAAATTTTAAACCATACTATAGAATATTGTACTTGATACAGCAGCGAGTTCAATGAGTGGAAAGAAATGCACACTGGCAAAAAGCTGTACGATGGTCAAAGCATGTATACAAAGCAAAAATTGATACATTGAAAAAGCCTGTCAACAAGCTGCTCTCTTATTGGTCTGACTGTTAGGGATGGGAAGCCAATCAAGTACAGTCTTGTATTTCGCTTTGGATCAACTCAAAAAGCTGGGCTTCCACAAACCGCTCACAATTCGCTCATTGTGAATTCCATTTAGATTTGGCCACAAGGAATTGTATAATTGTATATTTCATAGCACCACACAAGTACAAAATAAATCCATTACACTTATAAGTGCTTTTTTAAGGTAGCAGGATAGTCAAAATAAAATAAAACAGTATGTACTGTCATATATATTTTGTTACCCCCCCCCCCCCCCCACAAAAAATGCATGTTTTCTCCTTCTATAACAAGTGTACAAATTTCTGTTTACTCATTGGTAAACTCTTAGATTTTGGTCATTATCATCAACATTTTTCTAACAGGAATACCACCCTGCTACCTTATTGGAGCAAATACGACATTATCTTCAAGCGCCCTTTTTTCTAAAGCAGTCACTGTATGCTTGTAAACAAGCGTGCCTTTTATAGAGCATTAGACTACCATAACTGAGTAAAATTTGAAAGGCGCCAAAGATTGTAAAAAGAAGTGGGCAGTAATTTCAGATGAACAATAGACAATTTACAAAATGAATATAATAATTTACACATTTTACTGAGTTTAGAACAGGTAATGTGAAAACAAAATCGGGGATACGAACCTCATTTTTTGAGATTAACATGATATTGTATGTGGATTACAGAGTTCATACATGAAGAACAAAGTTAAGCGTGACACACTCAATTGAAAACTCAAGGTAATGCAGCGCTCTGGAAATTTGAAAAAAAAGAAAGAGGTGTGGGGGAAGCTATTAGTGAAGATATAGGCAGTTGCCGTGATTTGATTGACGCTTATGCTAGAACGTGTTCTTACACAAAAACTATTGAATATCCACTTCAAAACTACAATGTTCAGGAAACTGGGCAACCTTAAAAAGTTTGGATCAAGTTCAAGTGAAGATCGCATGCAATTCCAATTGAAAGTAAATTACATAGGTCAAATGAAATTATGACGTGAAATATTTTTCACCACCAGTTTCATAAAATAGTCCTGTTCATAGTCTGCACTTTCTTTTAGAAGATTGAAACAAAAAAAATGAAAATTTACTAAGTTTGCCAGTTCCAAAATTAGGGTTCATTTCCAGAAATATTGAAGAACATGAGAAAAAAGTGCAGACAAATTTGGGCGAAAAGACCTTGTGGTGAAATGGCTAACACTGTTCAAAATGATATGACAACCCAAACACATCTTAAAACTATTTGCGATAATAAGGTGATCGTGAACGAGACCTAGATCTAGATCTGCTGTATGAGCGGCTGTATCGCCGTTCTCGGCTTCGTCTACTGCTACTACTGTACTTCCTATCTGAGTAGTGATCTCTGCTGTCGCGTCGCTGGTACCCTCGGTCATAATTACTACGGTTTCCATAATAACGACCGCCACCACCACCTCCGTAACCACGATATCTGTCATCAAAACGTCTCCCACCTCCACCAAAGCGTTGATCCCTAAAAATATGGGAAAAGTGTCAAACGAAACAAATCAATAACATGAAAAAGAAAAACATCAAACATACTGAAATATTCCTTAACAAATAAATCTTATTTAAGGGATGAACTAAAATCCTACATTGTGAAGATCGTATTTCAAGGGATGCCCCAATTTTTTTTTATCCTATTCCAAGATACCCAAGTTTTATTTAAGGAATGAACCATTATTTCTGTAGGTGTTACAAGTCTCAGTTATCCAAAATGTATGTTACTGTAGTCTGTTAAGGCAAATGCGACTGTCACAATTGAGATATGACCAAATGGTAATTTTTTTTTGTTTGTTCTGGGTTCAGACAAACTTCTTACTGTACAACGTTTGCATAATCTGACTGGGTAACAAGATATTACGAGCATTGTACCTAGGCATATAGCTAGCACAACGCCACATAAGATATTTACTAGCATTGTACCTAGGCATATAGCTAGCACAATGCCACATAAGATATTACGAGCATTGTACCTAGGCATATAGCTAGCACAATGCCACATAAGATATTACGAGCATTGTACCTAGGCATATAGCTAGCACAATGCCACGTAAGATATTACGAGCATTGTACCTAGGCATATAGCTAGCACAATGCCACATAAGATATTACGAGCATTGTACCTAGGCATATAGCTAGCACAACGCCACATAAGATATTACGAGCATTGTACCTAGGCTTATAGCTAGCACAATGCCACATAAGATATTACGAGCATTGTACCTAGGCATTAGTGGACTGTTGTATAATTGAGAGGAATAATGCATCTATTCTAGTCTACTCATAACAGAACGTCATTTTCTTATTCCATGCACCCCTACCGACACAATGATCCATCCCTTAATACCATGTAATAATTCCTAGATATTCTGAACTCCAGAGAATAATATAAGGTTATACTTGTGTACCTGGAGAGTAATGTCTGTAGATATACTTTTATAATTGAGGGCATTCATTCAAGAGGCAAAATGTTGCAGAACTTTCCAAATTAAACTTTTGCAGTTTTTGAATACATCAAACGTGGGCAAAATTAAAACAGTTTAAGAAGATTAAAATGTCTACTAAACAAAGGAATTTCAAAAAATTAAATTTCCAATACCTCATCAAAAAGCATTAATTTCCACTGATATTTCTCAGCATAAAATCAAATTCATGAATTTGTCATCAAAACAAATTATTTTACATGCTCTTGTGCACTAAGATTTTACTTATTAGCGAAATTAAAACCCAGCAAAAGTTAATGCAGTTTGCAAACTTTGACTCAAAATTTACCTAGCCATATGACTGCCATAATGTACTTAAATGTTTACTACACTTTCAATAAGACCAAAGAATATAAAAATATTTTGCCTTGAAAATGATTTCTCTCCTAATTTTAATTCAAACCCAGAATATGTAAAAATGCTGCCAAAACACTGGGGTCACTTTCAGTAAACCAAGGCAGTAAGATGAAGTGGTTATACTTCAGCTAGAACAAAAACTACAATCAGATCAACGCATTTTCAATAGCACATATACCGACATGGACCGAATGGGACGAAGTACAGACATCTGTAACGTACATGAACGAAGACAATATCATGCAGAGCATACAGGTGCAGTAACAGACGCTGCAAACACAGGGCTCCCTGAGGGTAAGCTGTTACATACATGTACCCAGTGACACACCCAATTGTTAATAACAAAAATCTCCAAAATGTACATTAGAAACAAATGGAAAAAAAGTGCAGAAATGTTGGAATAAACAGGGTCAATGTTCGGGTCGTGGAATTATACTTACTGACTTTTGACGACTAGTAAATTGTAACTGAGGCTGGACACATGATATGATAAAACTCATAGCTCAAATAAACACGCCATTTATGATATATATATATGTATACTATATTCGCAGGAAGTCACATTAACCACGCTTATATAAACTATACGTTGTAATACGGCCACAAGGCATAGAAAGGATAATAAACTTCAGATATAAATCAGATATTTGAGTCCATGTGATCTAGATAGAAGTCTGGTAATCTTGAGTCATCTGAGCTTACATATATAAATTTTGGTGCCGTTGTATAATAGCCAACATACATATAGTAAGATATGTAAGGGACGTCTTTTCCTTGTATGATATCGCTTCAGTACCGCCCTCATTGGGATATATGTATAAATAGTTTTTAGTGATGACGAGACTTTCTGAGGGAAAGACTGAACAAAACAACTGGCATTTAATAACGTTCGGCATTTGAGAGAGAATGATGGGAGATGGAGAGAGAATGATGGGAGATGGAGAGAGAATGATGGGAGATGGAGAGAGAATGATGGGAGATGGAGAGAGAATGATGGGAGATGGAGAGAGAATGATGGGAGATGGAGAGAGAATGATGGGAGATGGAGAGAGAATGATGGGAGATGGAGAGAGTAGTGTGGGGTTTGTTTGCATTGTTACACACAGATATATCAATCATACACAGTAGAGTGATTTAGAGATGTTGTAAAATCAGAAGGTGGTGGTAAGTTTTCAGTGTTCTCCTCAGAGGCTTCCAAGAATCGTTGCCATGATGCTAGGGTTTCTTTAAGACAAATGATACTGGGGGTTTGGTTGAGACAAATGATGCTAGGGTTTCTTTAAGACAAATGATACTGGGGTTTCGTTGAGACAAATGATGCTGGAGTTTTTTCGAAACAAGAGAATAAATTAAAACAAAGGAATTCATCAACATTGTTCAGTAGCCACAACCCTTGAGAATACTCTTGGAGAAAACACAATTTAGATGTATGTCAGTCTGAATGAAACTACAGATCAAGCCCAGTGGGGTTTTAGCAATTAATCTCTTTTATAAAGTGTGCCCTCTAGTGGCATCAAAATGATGAAGAAAAAATTGAAAAAAGAACTGTATTTTTTTTGTTCTGTAGATGTTCCTTAGTTCACCCTACAATCCAAGCATAACATAACTTCCAAGCTGACTCTGCTTTTTCATGAAAACATTTTCAACTTATTCTTAGTATTTTATAGTATTTGTTATGAATATGAGAATATTTAGACATTTTACTTTGCACAATTTAAAAATATGAAGGTTTTAGAAGCAAACTAAAACAGCTTAAATCTATCTAAAAGTTTAGTAAACAAGACCAAATACATGACAAGGTAAGCACTGACAGTACTATAACAAATTATCAATTTTCACACATTTTTCACTAGACTACATTGTAAGTTCAAAACATGAGGATGCTGTGAATGACATTCTGTTAATCTATTTATGTAGTCAGAAGCACTTTGTCACATCCCCCAAACCTCAGCTAAGACTTTGAATGCTTTGTACACAGCAGTACGGATGTAAATCATAAATGACCTTTGCATAGTGGAATAAATATAGTGTTAGGTATTAATCTATAGAGGATAACAACTTGGTGGCATGCCAGCAAAATTAAATCCGAATGGATATTTAAAATTTATAGTTTCACTGGAAACTGAATTTAAAGGGGAACCGCTCAGTCCCATGGATTGCACCAAAGAATCATGGGACACTATTGTTTATGTTGTTTACAATGTTAATCTATCTTTTGTTATCCATTGTTATTTTAATCCAGAAAGCAAATTTGTTGTAAAATTAATCTTAACTGGAAGGTGCCCCTTTAAATCACATCTATGCTAAGGTCTTGTTTTCAATATCAACCACCATCTAATTGC